AGCGATCGATAATCGTGATGCTGATGACGATGATGATGATGATGATGGTGCTGATGATCATGATCATGATCATGATGCTGATGATGGTGATGATGATGATCATGATCATAATGATGATGGTGATCATGATCATGATGATCATGATCATGATGATAAACATGATGACGATGATGGTGTTCATGATGATGGTGATGTTGATGATGCTGCTGATGATGCTGCTGATCAGGATGCTGATGACGGTGGTGATGACGATGATGTCAATGTTGATAATGAAAACGATGGTGATGGCCATGACGATGGCAATAACAATGACGATGTAATGGTGATAGTTTGCAACTGTTGCTGCTGATGATGATCATCAGGATGATGGTGATGATGAGGCCAGTAACGATGATGATGGCGATGATGATCATGATGATGATGCGCCTATGCGCCTGTGCCGGCAGACACTGAAGGCACTGCGAACAAGCCACCGCTGATGATACGAACTTGGCCAGATTCGTATCCTGGGGCCTGGCCACAATGGATGATACGAGATATTGGCCTAACTCGTACCTTAGAGTATCTACACTGATGATGATGATGATGATGATGATGTTGATGATCATGATGATGATCATCATGATGAGGATGAAATCGCTGATCATGATGACGATGATGACCGTGACGAGGATGATGGTGAACATGATGATGATCACGAATATGACCACTTCAATGACAGTGCTGATGATCAAGATGATTGTGATGGTGGTGATGATGGTGACCATGATGATCATGATGATGATGACGACCATGATCATGATGGCAATTTGGAAGGGAGATCAGGATCACGAGGAAGATTCGGAAGGAGATTTGGAGGGGAAGGATCAGCAGTAGCAGCAGCAACAGCGGCAGGAGCAGTCATGATTTTCTCGGTTGCTCGTTGGTGTAGTTGTCCGCATCCGTAGGTTTTTGTCTCGAGCTGGATTTTTTGGAACTGAAGAAGTGCGTGGGCCATGGGTGGGGCTCGGAAAAGGCTAGAGCAGCGGGTCCTCAAGTTGATCACCAAGGAGGCTCGTCTGCTGGCGCGTCTCAAGAACGTGCGCGCCAAGAAGAAGCGCGCGCAGGAGAGGCTGACATCGAACGGCGTTCCTTCGTTTTCTTTTTCCTCTTCGTCTTCCTCTTCCTCAGCCGCCGCGCCGGGTTCTGAGGGCCACTCCGCTGCGGAGTATCAGGCGCCGTCTCCCCTCCTAGCCCTGCCTGCTCCTGCCGCCCCTTTACCTGCTCCTGTCGAGCCAGCGCCTGCTTCTGCCTCCGCGCCGCTTGCCGCCGCAGTCGCGTCAGCGTCCGTCGCGCCAGCGCCTGCTTCTGCTGCGCCGGCGGCGCTTGCCTCCCAGCCCGCGCCGCCGCCCAAGCGCAAGCCTGGCCGGCCGCCCCTGTACCTGGCGCCAGAAGGGGAGTGCAAGCTTTGCTTTTTCAAGCAGCGCGGGCTGCCCTTCGCAGGGCGCGCGCACGCGGACTGGTGCTCCCGCCCGTCCCGCTTCTGAGGCCGCGCCACGGCCTCTCCTCGCTAACGCTCCTTTGCATGTCACAGAAAAAGAGAGATGGCCGCTAGCATTCTTGATGTCTCTCATTCTTTATGTCTTATTTCCTGCCTCTCTGTCTTTTTGCTTTGTGTTGATTTCTGGTTATTTCTTTATGTATTTCTGTCTTTTGTCCTGTCTACTCCTACTATGACTACAACTACTACTACTACTACTGATTCTTCTTCTTCTTCTACTACTACTACCACTAATGCTACTACTACTACTACCACTACTACTAGCACTACTACTACTACTACTACTACTACGACTGCTACTACTACTACTACTACTACAACTACTACTACTACTACAACTACTACTACTACGACTACAACTACTACTACTACTACTACTACTACTACTACTAGTACTACTAGCACTACTACTACTACTACTAGTCCTTCTACTACTACTACTACTACTACTGCGACTACTATTAGTATTACTAGTACTACTACCACTACTACTACTACTACTATTACTACTACTACTACTACTGCTACTACTACTACTGTTAGTACTACTACCACCACTACTACTACTACTACTACTGTTACTACGACTACTACGAGCGCTACCACTACTACCACTACTACTAGTACTACTACTACTACTACTACTACTACTGCTGCTACTACTGCTAGCGCTACTACTACTACGACTACTACTACTACTACTACACTACTAGTACTACTACCACTACTACTACTACTACTACTACTACTACTACTATCAGTACGACTACGACTACTACTACTGCTACTACTACTCTTACCACTACCACTACCATCACTACTAATACGACTACCGCCGCGACTACTCTTAAAATTACTCCTACTACTACTACCACTACTACTACTAGTACTACTACTACTACTACTGCTACTACTACTACTAGTACTACTACTACTAGTGCTACCGCTACTACTACTACTACTACTACTACCGCTACTACTACTACTACTACTACTACTACTACTACCACTGCTACTATTAGTGTTACAACAACTACTACTACTACTACCGCTGCTATTACTACTGCTATCACTACTGCTACTACCACCACCTACTACTACTACAACTACTACTACTATTACTACTACTATTACTACTACTACGACTACTACTACTACTACTACTATCACTACGACTACGACTACTACTACTACTACTACTACTACTATTACTACCGCTGCTTCTACTGCTACTACTACTACTACTACTACTACGACGACCGCTACTACTACTTCTACTACTACTACTATTATTACTACTACTACTACTGCTACTACTACTGCTACTACTACTACTACTACTATTATTAGTAGTAGTAGTAGTACTACTACTACTACTACTACTACTACTACTTTACAGCTACTACCACTACTACAACCGCTACTACTGCGACCACCACTGCCACCGCTATTACCACTACTACTACGACTACCACTACTACTACTACGACTACTACTACTACTACTGGTACTACTACTACTACTACTACTACTACTACTACTACTACTACTACTACTACTACTACTGCTACTACTACGACTATTATTTCTACTACTACTACTACTACTACTACCACTACTACTACTACTACTACCTGGGTAGTCGAAGGCCAGCCGGTCAGGTTGGATTGAGGCGCCGGGGCCACTCCGGCATCGGTATCCTGCGATTTCCAATCCGGCGCCAGTCCGTCGCGGCCCAGTCTGATGCTGACCTTCTCAATCTGGCTGTCCTGCCCGCCATCTCCTTTCGCGCGTGCGGTTTGCGGCCGTCTGGCTGTGCGTTTTCATATTATTCCGTCGGGGCGAGCCAGACTGCATCTTCTCGCAGATTGCCAGATTGGCCAGATTGGAGCGGGCGCCACGTTGCACCAGATTGGGATCGTGGCCAGACTGGCCCTGCTGGACGGCCGCCAGATTGAAGAATTTCTCAGATTGCCAGATTGGCAGCGATGCCACATGGAATCCCCAACCTCTTGCGGCTTGGGTACTTCATCATTTAGGAGGCGAAACATTGCCATCATCATCATCGTCATCATCAGTGGCATCACTGCCGTCATCATCACCACCATCGTTGCGGCTTCTGCCCGACCCACCCTCCCGGGGGGGGCCGCCAGAGGGAGCAGGGTGGCGTTCCACCGCGCAATTCAGCGGGGGAGCCTACCCCAGCCCACCTCTCCAGGCTGAGGCCCCGCCGAAGCGGGCCCGCGAGTTCCTCGGATGTCAAATTGGGGGGCTACCCAGGGGGAGAGAGAGAGAGAGAGAGAGAGAGAGAGAGAGAGAGAGAGAGAGAGAGAGAGAGAGAGAGAGAGAGAGACAGAGAGAGAGAGAGAGGAAAAAAAAAAGGGGGCACAGCCCCACACAGTCGAAGATAATTACCTAAGCCCTCTCGGGCTCAGTTCCGCCGCCGCCCCCCCCTAAAGCCCCAGCGAACGACCGGCGCGGCCCCTCAGGGTCTAGAACCCGTCAGGGCCCCCCAGGGGCCTTTATTGTTTGAAAAAGGCCCTCAGGGGCCCTTTCGGGGCCGTTTACAGGCCCGAAAACCATAGGATGAGTAAGGCAAGCCTTTAAAACATGAGTTTTGGTTCCTTCGCTGATTACCAAAACCCTGCCAGACAGCATTAGGCATTCTTCCACGCCTCACGTAGTAGTCGTAGTAGTACTAGTACTAGTACTAGTACTAGTATTAGTACTAGTACTAGTACTAGTACTAGTGCTAGCACTAGTAGTAGTAGTAGTAGTAGTAGTACGTAGTAGTAGTAGTAGTAGTACGTAGTAGTAGTAGTAGTAGTAGTAGTAGTAGTAGTAGTAGTAGTCGTAGTAGTAGTAGTAGTAGTAGTAGTAGTAGTAGTAGTATAGTAGTAGTAGTAGTATAGTTAGTAGTAGTAGTAGTAGTAGTAGTAGTAGTAGGTAGTAGTAGTTAGTAGTAGTAGTAGTAGTAGTAGTAGTAGTAGTAGTAGTAGTAGTAGTAGTAGTAGTAGTAGGAGGAGGAGGCGGAGGAGGAGGAGGAGGAGGAGGAGGAGGGGGAGGAGGGGGAGGAGGAAACAGGTTGAGTTCGGGTTTTGAAGGGGCTCGGGTTCGGGAGGCGCTCGGCGTGGTGCGCGCAACGCAGGGAAACCGAGGGCGGTGCAATTTCCACGGCAGACAGACGCCTCGGCGATGCAGCTCTGGCGCTCCTGACTGAGGGCGATGCAAGTACCGCATCAGACCGACGCATGGGAGATGCGTGCGATTCGCCTGGGACCGAGTCGCCCAGACCGGAGAGGCGCAGAGATGGGATGAGTGCAAGGGTGGTCACGGCTCCATGTCGTTCGTAAACATTGCGGCTCAACGATTTTGATTCCCTCATCGTCTGGCACGCTCCACCAGCAGCCATCGGTGATCGGCAGCTCGTGCTTGTTATTGCCACGCCTACATTTCAGAAATGTCCGCGCAGTCCCAGCAGTTCAAGGAGGAAATGGAGTCCGCTTGGGCATACATAGACGAGAACTTCGACCCAGAGCTCCTATTTGGAAAGGTCGGCTACCAGTTCGTTCTGTCCCATGCCATCCGCTCTTCGACACACCCGCTGGTGACGGGGGTCACGCTCATTGCAGCCATGGCGCCGCTGACCAATGGGGCCAACATCAAGACGTTCCCAGGATCGCCCACGCAGCTCAACGTTGTTGCTGTCCTAACCAACTTTCCTCAGACACGAAAGTCTCAGATGACCAAGCTGGCGAAAGAGATCGGCGACTGTCTGGACGCGAAGATCCTCGCCAAGCTCGAGGCCAAGGTCGCCGAGGAGTTGGAGGCGCGCAACCGCCCAGTGGACATCGGTGGTCCGGGCGCGCCGCCGAAGGCCCCCCCTCGCGTGGCCAGCGCAGTGTTGGCCTCGTTCACCCCTGCCAAGTTCTTCGAGAAGATGAGCGGTGATGCGCAGCAGCTTGATAATGCTGAAGATGTCGGCCTTCCCTCGCTGCTCGGGAGCGTCCACCTTGGCCGGCTCGCGAATGCCGATGAGGTATATGCGCCCTTCGCCGCCTTCGGCTTGATCCGCGACGACTCCCATCGCTCGTCCACCAATGCCCAGACGGTGAACGAGCACGCTGGGACCCTCAATCGCCTGCTGCAGTGGGGGGAGTGCCCGCGCGCAACAAAGAGCTCAGGATCCTACGGGGGAGGTCTCACGCCAGCGGTGTCCCTCGCCTGGCTGGGCAACATCCACCCAGAGATCGCCGTCCCGATGGACAGGGGCGCTCTGGGCAGCCACGCGGGGGCTACCAAAGAGCGCATGTTCTTCTACACGGGCCGCCCAGAGCCTCCTCACAGTGCCCTTCCAGATGCGTATGAGCTGCCCGAGAACCACGACCCCTGGGCGCGATTCTGGCAAACTTTACACATGATGACCCTCCCTGCAGTTTTTGGCCCGCAGCGAGTCGGCGGGGCGCGACTTGGGAAATCCCAAATCGCACCGCGCCATGGGGCCATCCGGGGCAGCGTTGGAAAGCCGCGTTGTGGGTTCCCCTGGGCCTCTGGGGCGCCGTCTTGGATTGCCTGATCTTCTCCGGGACATCGTGGCCAGGCGCGCCGGCGTCTTTTGTGTTAAAAAGCCAGACAGAATAGCAGTTTGCATTCACAGGCGTGGGCAGAGCTGGACGTGGACATGGCCGTGCTGTCCGGCATGAAAGAGCTCATCGGGGACCCCGAGGCTGCGGAGCAGGCGCAGTTGCCCAGGGCGCGCGCCCATGCGGACGAAGCGCCAGAAGAAGGCGGGGACCGCTCCGTTCGGTACCGCCCTGACGCGGAGGGGTTCCTCTTCACGATGCCGGACGGCGTGCCCAGTCGCCTGCGGTATTGCTGGGCCAACGACGAGTGGGTGGCCGAGTATCGCATCGGCAACAAGAACATCCCGCTGCCTCCATCGCACGAGATCGCGGCAGCGGCGGAGCGAGTTTCCACTCTCTTCTCGAAGGCGGGGGAGACTGTGACGTTGTCCGAGGTTGCCGCGAAACTCATGCGCAGCGTCAGTACCTTCGCCTCGGTCAAAGCGTCTTTGGCCGTGGAGGAAGGGGGCACTGTGACCAGCGCGCGCTGGGGGATTGCCCCTTGGAAAGCGAGCGTATTGACTGGCTTGCTGTTCGCTTTCGACTCATTTGTCGGACAGGCGCCCGCTGCCAGGCCAGACCCCGCAGGTGCGCTGGTCGCCACGCGGGAGCAGGTGGAGCGCGCCAAGCGCTTGCTGGCCTTGCTCGAGGGCGCGCGGGAGCAGTGGCTTGACGCCACCGATGAGGAGCGCGCGAAGTCGGTTCTGCGCATGAGCCAGCAGGGCGCCGACTTCTTGGCTGGCCTGCCCGCCGGGTTCGACCTGGAGCAGGGGCAGCCGTCGGGGCTCGCCGGCGCAGAGCCATCTGGGGCGCCAGCCGCAACGGCGCGGCCGCCAACGAAGCGAGCCCGCGCGCAGAGCGCCGAGCCGCCGGCCTCGGCGCAGAGTTCGCGACCAGCCGCCAGTGCCGCCAGCCCGGCGGATGCCGTCGCCGGGGGCGCCGATCGCGGCGCCCGCGAGGCCGCCCTGCTTGCGCCGCTGGAGGCCCAGGCGATCGCGCCAGGCGCGCAGGCCCAGGGGACGCCGCCATCCGCCCAGCCTGCGCCGCCAGGAGCCCTGCCGAGCGCGCCAGCTGGCCCGCGGCCCGCGGAGGCGCCGCCTGCTGCCACCGAGCCCAAGCAGATCACAGACGGCGCGCCAATGACCAGAGGCTACGGCCCCCGCGGCGGCACAGTGCAGGCGTTCGCCGAGGGCCAGGGCGAGGCGTGGAAGACGGACCGCGACATCGTCCGCTACACGCTGCAGCGGGGCAAGGGGGTGGTCAAGTGCTCCGAGATTTGCGGGAACTTGCGCCGCGAAGCGATGGTGAACGGCAGGAAGAAGCGCTTGGGCTTGCCCCAGAAAGTCTGGGAGGACGTGATGGCCGCTGCCTTGGCGCAGTGCCCTGTCGGCGACTTGCTCGAGGTGGGCACGCCGAGATCCAGGGTTCAGTGGCGCGCGCCGCCGTCGGCGGCGGCCGGGCGCGAGGCCATGGTCAAGTGGCACAATCTCCTGGTGGACATGTGCAGGCTTACAGGCCGCGAGGTGAGGGCCCTCTTGCAGCGGGCCCAGGCCCCCGCGGCAAGCGGGTAGCTATCCGCTCGCTTCTTGGCACCCCGCGTTTCGAACGCTAGTCAAGCAGACGCGCTGCGCTCGAACCAACGGGGGGCTGGTGCGGCCGTATTCGGCCAGCAGCGCGACTCCAGATCGCCCGATGGGCCGTCGGGCGACGATTTTGATCGCCCTACGCCACGCGGCACCTCTCCTCTCCCAGGCCCATTGGGGCGCGATTTTGAACAAATCAGGTTGCGCGGCATCTCCCCCGGGGTGTCTCCGGCCACAGTGCGCCGCTTCGGGCAATCGCCTGGAGAAGATGAGGCATTGCGCTTTATCGCGGGTCCCGCCATGCAACAGGTCTCGCGATGGAGTCGCTTAAGACGCTGCCAGTGAATTTCTAACGGCACGTTCGCATGTGCTTCAACAGTTTTTCAATGCATACTCTCTTAGATGCGCTACAATCGCTTGCTTGACATGCGCAGGCGCAGGCTGCAGGTTCACAGGCCGCGACGCGAGGCCTGCGGGGCGAGCGCAAGGCATTGGGCGGTGACTCACGTTGCCCAGGGTCTTCGTCGCGCGGGCGCGGGCGCGCGGCCCGCGCTTGCCGCTCTCGCGACGCAGGCGTGCCCCGCTCAGTTTGCTGGCGGCGTTTCCCCGTCGGCCGGACCTGCGTTCGCGACCCCCCGTCGCCCAGGGCTACTTCGGCGCGGCGGGTCCATGCTGGGCTGCAGTCTTCCCTTCGCGATGCTTTCAGACATTTTGCTTCTCGCGCCCTGCCCCCTTCTCCACCGGCGTCGCCCCCTTGCGCAGCCCTCGCGCTGGGCGGCGCCCATTTGGCCCGGCGCCATTTTGCTTTGCAGACGGCCGAGGATGGCCTTTGCGGAGCCATATGAGCACGGCACGGGCATGCCGGAGCCCCTTGGCATCGCGGGCCGGGCGAGCTAGACGGTGGCCGAGGATTCGTTTCAGGACAGGAAACCATATCCATCTACGCCCCCCTCCCGTTGCGTTCCCCGAGCACCACGCAAGTGAAAGCGGCGCGACCCCGATTTGGTTATTCTTTCTTCCACGCCAGATCAACGCAGCAACGCGACGAAATGCAATGATATGCGCTGCACAGAGCAGGGATACGCTAAGCGAAATTGTGGAACCGAAAGGGCAGTAGACAATTGGGGAGCCAGAGTGGCAAGAGACATTTGGGGAACCATGGGGGCGAGAGACGCGCGGATGGGAAACCGAGGGGGCGAGAGACAAGTAGGGCAGCAAGAGGAGTCAACCCAGACAAGCCCGTGCAACGCGGGCAGCAAGCCGGGGAGGGCTGGCCAGCGCAGTCCGGGCCCTTGTCAGTTCTTTGAGAACAAGTTCGAACCCTTTGGGCAAAGTCTCCTGGGGGGGCATTCGAGTTCAGACCGCCTCTAGGTAGCCCCTGAGCCGCCGACTCATTTCCGACGCTCCGTAGTTTTGGGCTCAAGTTGCGCGGCCTGCCCCGCGCGTGGCCGCGCAACTGATGGACCCGGCCGTTGTAGAACAAGCGTTGGAGTCAGCCGACGTGGCGGGGCTGCTCGCTCCCGCAGATATACAGAGACTCGCGGCTGCGGTGGTGGCACGCAGCAGCGTCGGAGAGGTCGCGCCCCCAGGGCGACGCTGCCAAGCATGTTCGCATGGGCAAGTGTGCCGCAATAAAGCCGACACCGCGCTTGTTCTTGACACCGATGGGCTCCACGAGTTCACGCATGTACTAGTCAGGTGCCAGGCGGCGGGGTGCATCTCGCGAGGGAAGTACCAGTGGGCCAACTTTATTTCTTTGAAGAAGGGCGTCCACAGATATGTGTGGATTTGTGATGATTGGCCGGACCCTTTCATGATTTCCCCAACGTTTGGCATTACGCAGAATTGGTTCAGACAATTTTCACGACGCCTCGCTCATCAGCACACTTCATTTTGGGGGGAGGCTGAAGTTCATTGGCGGCTTCAATCGGGCATCTCCAAAAAGAGATTGCACATGAAGCTGATGAAGGCGTGGTTCCTGATGCGGCTGTTGACGCGTCTGGCAGAAATGAAGGGGTCCAGGTCGTATTTGCAGCTCCGGTTGTCGGCGCCTGTCGAGCACGTCATCCAAGCTAATTGGCCGCAGTTGCAGACCCACTTGCGGAACTTGCGGCACCGGCGCGCCGAGATCGACGGGGAGGTTTCTAAGGTCGTCATAGACGGGCATCAGAAGCTCACCCGGAAGTGTTGCGGGTTGATGTATGGAGGCTACACCCGCGATCCAAATCTCGGCAAGGTGTGCTTGCACCCCTGCCCTGCCCCCACGAGGGGCCAGCGCGAGCGCTGGTGCACTTACCACGCCCGTTTGCTGGAGAAGCCCGTGCCGTTTGAGGGCGCCAAAGACGCAGACGTTTTTCTTGTCCGGCGCCGCGAATGCTTGGGGGGCACGCTGGACGACGTGCTCTGTGTGACGTCGCAGCGGCAAGGCGTCGGAGCAGTTCGAGTGGTTGACGATATTGAAGGCTGCTGGGACGCCGTCCAGTCCACTTTGGTCAGGCGCGCCGCAGATGCCGCGAAAGACGCGGCCGAGTCCCGTGCCAGCGAGGGGGCGCCAGACAAACTCATGGCGAAGTTGCCCCGGTTCCGCTTGAGAAAACGCAAAGCACCACTTGGACCACCAGTGGCGAGACCTGGCCCGCCAGCAGATGAGGCGCCACAAGAGTTTGCTCTTGCCGCGCCCGTCCAGAGTTTGCCTGCGAGGCCGCAGAAAAAGCGCAGGTTGCCCGCTGGCCTGCGCACTTCTGCGAGCTGCGGCGATGGGGCGCGCCCTTCGGCGAGCCGCGGCGATGGCGACGCCGGCCGAGCCGCGCATGCGACGGCTGCGCAGCCTGCGCAGCCCGTAGACCCCGCGGCGGCACTTCCGGCGGTCGACGCATCACTCAGGGAGCTGGAACAGATTTCGTGCAAAACCCACAAGAGCTTTGCCAAGGGAGGGAAACGGGGCAAGCTGGAGTCCGCTTCTCTTGCAGTGCGGCGAACTGGGGGGTTCCTTGTCGCGTGCTCGCCCAGCGGGCACATTATCGACGTGGAGGAGTTCTTCGGCGTTGAAAGCTTGGCGCAGCGGCATTGCTTTCTGGCCCGCTTGAAGAAGCGATTCCCCGCCTTGAACGTCGTCATCCACGACGGCGCCTGTCATCTCCGCCAATACAGCACCAATAGAAAGGACCAGTCTGCCTTAGCCGCCTTGTTGGCACACCCGTGCGTCGTATACGTGGTGGACAGATTTCACGCCAGAGGTCATGTCGACCCATGGTGTAAGCAGCACTGCTGCCCCGACGCACCCGGCGTCAAGGAGCTCGTTGACGGCGCAAACACCAGCATCTGCGAGATTACCTTCTCTTGGGCGGCGAGGTATCTAGTAGCCTTCGGCTGCCCGCCATCTTGCTCCGATTGCGAATGCCGCGCGCCCGAGAGCGCTCGGAAACGGGAGGGGGGGGGTGTCCTTTCCTGTTTTCCAAGTAGGATGCTTGCTTGGCCATGACAAAAACCAGGCTTAGCGACTGCGCGCCAGCGGCGTGGTGGCGGATAAACACATGGCGCGAACAATGGGCCGGCATGTGGCGAATTACTTTTTGGCCGAATGCATCGATATGCGGAACACGGTGCACTCACGAGGCCGAGACGCAGAGCCCAGCTCTGATACTTCCGAAAGCTCCAGCGACACAGGCACCAGTTCAAGCTCTGGTCGTTGAACACGTAGGATCGACTTTGGGCCGTCGTGCACGTCGTTGGCCCCCGCCCAACGCTGCCCGCAGCCGGTGGCGGGCAACAGCTCTGCACGCTGAAGCTGACGCGCGTCGGACTTGCGCGCTCCTCTCCCCCTTCCTGCCCAGGCGTCCCGCAATGGCGGTGCTTTGTAGGCATAGTGGCATTTTGCCCCAGATACTGCAACGTCAGGCCTGGCCAGGGCCATGAGAGCATGCCGCCCGCATGCCGCGGTTCTCCAGCAGGGCGACCCTTGCAAGCAATGTAGTAGCGCTGCATGCAGTGCATCGAAAAGCATGCCAGTCAGCGCGGGCCCCAAACAGTGGTTGTCTTGCAATCTATGTGGTGCACTCTGGGTGGTGTAAGCTATATAGTGCAATCTATGTGGGGCAACGTGGTGTTAGCTATGGGGTGCAAGCTGTGTTGTAAGAGCTTTGGTATTCATCTAGAACCACGCGTCCGGGGGAGGGGGTGGAAGATGCACTTTTGGGCCCGGAGGCCTCTTGGGCGGAGATGTGCGACGCCTGGGATTGTCCGGGTGTTTCTTTGCGAATTGGCCAGTGTTGTGCGTGCCGACTTTCGCGCTGTCCTAATGGGCCGTCTTGGGCCAAATGGAGGCCCCGTTGGACCTTTTTGGGCCGATCTTGAAGGTTTTGTGGGCAATCTTGGACGCTGTGAAACACCCAAGGGTGAATATGTTTAGCATATATGTTTTCCCAATGGCATGGGACGTCCTTGGCCTCTCGTGTCTCTCTCGGGGCTTCTTCGGCGTCTGAGGCCGTCTGGAGGCCATCGTGACCGACATGGGGCGATCTTTCGGCGACTTGGACGTTTCCGAGCCGTGCTGGTCCTCTCCTGGAGCGTTCTGGGGGAGTTGACGGGATTCTGCCGGGGATCAGCCGGGTACTTTTCGTCCGGGGTCCTCCAGGGGCTACTCCGAGCGCGCGAATTGCAGGTCCGCGTCGGCAGATATGCTTCGGCAGACCCTGTTGTGCGGCTTCGGGAGGACCTCTTCGGTGAGGGTCCGCCCGTTCGGTTCAACCGTCGTCGTCGCCGCCGCCGTCGGCGTCGTCCGCGTCGTAGTCGTCGGCGTCGTCGGCGTCGTCGGCGTCAACGTCGTCGGCGTCGTCGGCGTCGTCGGCGTCGCCGCCGCCGTTGCTGTCGTCGGCGGAGTCGTCGTCGGCGTCGGCGCCTTCGTCGTCGTCGTCGTCGGTGCCGTCGTCGTTGGTGTCGTCGGCGTCGTCGTCGGCGTCGTCGTTGTCGTCGGCGCCGCAGTCGTCGTC